AACCCTGGGCAAGTCATTTAACCTCTATTTGCCTCTGTTTTCTCATCTGTAAAATGGAGGTAATAACAGCAGCTACTTCCCAGGGTTGTTATGAGAATCTATTGAGATAAATGAAAAAGTGCTTGGCAGAGTGCGTGGTACATAGTAGGCACTATATAAATGTTAGCTCTTATTATTTGCTATGTTAAGGCTAGCCAAAGTTTAATGTTGAAATCTACAAACATTCAGATGGTATTAGAAATCAGTGCTATGGAGTTATGAAAAGCAAAAGAGTCTAGAACTAGGGATCTCATTCTGGTTCCTAACTCAAAGTGTCCAGTAAAAATAGGCCTGTCATCATTTGTATGTAGCTCACAGATGGGTAGATAGATAGCTCACTTGCTGTCTCTTTAGGGTTTACAAAGTGCTTTACTTACAGCAACCCTACACGGTAGGTAGTACAAGTAATACTATCCCATTTTACAGATGAGAAAACAGATACTCTCCAGGGAATAGGTTTACCCTTGTCAAAGGTCTCTACAGAGAAGCAGGAGAGCTGCTCAGGCTTTGACAAGCCTCCTTTCCACTATTTCTACTGCATTGCATTGTGCATAGCACAGGCCCTGGCTTTGTTTTTTGTAGTCTTCAGGTCATTATAGGCCTATAGTTTAATTTAACAAGCATTTATTAAGTGCCTATTAACAAGATGTTCATCACCAGTTTCCCCCAGTTCACAGAGCAAACCCATTTATTTACAGATCAATTTCCCTCTGAGGAGGTCCTTGACATAAGAACAGTAAGGGGTCACATCCCAAGGGTTACCCCATAGAGAGTCCTGACCAAAAGTGTATCCTTGCTTTTTAGCCTTTGCCATGACCAGTTAACATAAATAGATCCTATATCTGAATGTGGAGAAGCCTTAAATGAGTCACTTTTTATGGAAGATTAATTTCTCCTGGTCAGTAATTCCCAATTTCAAAACTGGCTAAGAAGCCTCTTTCAAAGTCTGAAGTGTCCCCTCCATGGCCTAGCACAGTATTGGAAAATAGTACACATTCCATGATAACCAGCTGAATGACTGGCTGGAGAGAACATTATCCAACTCCCTCGAGATCTGATGAGGGTCAGGAATGTAGGATATTAGGGGGAGAGGATGCCCATGGAGCCTGGGCAGAAGCTCCTAATGTACTTTGTGTGCTTCCAGGGTGGCCCATTGACTGATGTTCCTTTGAGGTTCCTCTACCATTGATCAGCCCTGGGCTAAGGATGAGGCACTGAGACAGACAGGAAGTAGTGGTCTGAATGAGATGGGTCTGCAGAAGCATAATCTTGGTGACCCTCTTAGTTCAGCTCCCGGATGAAGACAAGTGTGTCAGAGTGAAAACAACATTGGACTTGGAATTCATTCAAGTTCCTGACTACCATATCCTAGTTATAGGATAGCTAGTTGCTCCACATCTGAACCTCAATTTCCTCTGTGAATTGGGGATAATCATTTTATTACCTACCTCACAGGTTCAGTGGAAAGTACTTTGTAACTAAAATATTAATATAAGGAAATGATACTGTAATTCCCTTGGGGACTTGCTAACAACTACTCCCAGCTACCTTCTTGTCATTCCCTGAAGATGGAAGAGAATCCATGGTTTCTGCCCAACTACTCTGGCATTTTGTTCCCAGTGAGTAGGGTGACATTTCATAACTAGGAAGTAGGAATGGGGATCGAGTCCCTGATTCCCTCAAGTCCTAAGGCAGGGGGTCCCCATCCTCTACTCCCTCCCCATCTGTAAGGTCCCACATCGTACTTTACAAAGCTCTTTGCTATCTGAATGCTTAATAAATACTTCTTGCCTTGTCTTGCCAATTGTTTCTCAGAACATGGCAGCAAATAAATTATTAATCCTCATTTGACAAAAATGAGCCCAAAGAAAGGCCAAAGAGACTAACTTAAACTTACACACACATTAGTCACTAGGATCCAGATCTTTCCCCCAAAGCAACGAGACCCTCTTTCTTTGGTCATTAATATATCACTTCTTGCCTTTTCTCGTATGGCTTAGGTATACAGATGTATTCATCGCCATCACTGTTATCCCACATCATGGAAGCGATGGGCTTTCTACCTCCTCCCTGGAATCTCTCTGGCATTTGTGGCTATTGCCATCTATGCCTTCATGGGGACCAATGACAACTACTTCTATACACACAGCATCTGGCATGTGCTGATGGCCAGTAGTGTGGCTTTCCTTCTACCCCCTCGTGACAAGAACACAGAACCCTGGGCCTGGTCACAGAAGCTCACCTGCCGCTACCAGCTCTGTAAGAACACCCAGGAGGAACTCTATGCGGTGACATGAAGTTACCAGGCCAGTTCTTCTGCAGCAGGGACTGCCAGTGATAGGCTGACTCCACCTGCCTTCCAACTCAACCCACAGCTCCCACTTTTCCTCTCCAAAAATAAAGGAGATATGCTTCTTATTTGATTTCTGTCTGAATAAAATTGTCCTGAGTGTGGTTTTTCTGTTTCTGCCAAGGGAAGAGATATTCTCTCCCTCACCAAGTCCAGTTCTGAATCCCACTTCTCTGCTCAAGAGACCTAGGGGATCTGGGGATCTGCTATCATGACACCTACATGGCACTCTGCTTGGGACCAGAGCCTCTGGCCCTCCTGACTGGTCAAGGGTAAACTTTTGGTTTGTTGAGAGATCAAAAGAAACCCCATGGAGACCTCCAGCTCCCTAAGCTGTTGAACTGTGCTAAGGGGTAGAACATAGCTCAACATTTCAGGCACTCAGCAAGTTTGGGGGCAGGTCCAGAGAGAGAGACTGAGTAGGAGAGATGGAAAGATGAAGATGAGTCTACCTCTTTCCCTTCCCTCTATGAGAAGCAGAACCAGGACATGCACATTCTAAACTCTGAAGGGCTGGTCCTGGCCTCCAGCTATCACAGCTGAGCCCTAGGGCTTACCCCATCTCATGCTCTCCCTAACTTACCTCTGAGACTGAAGGAGCCAGCACTTTAGATTAGGTTGTGTTGGAGGTTTCACTATAATCTTTGTTCTGGTTATTTCCTAGTGTAGTTGCCCCTTTTGGGGCCCCTCCACTCCTACTTTCCTGAAGCTGCTGGGCCCTCTCTGCAGAGAGGCAGCTGTATCCCTTAGGGCTAGGTGAAGGAGGCTAACTAGGGGCATAGTGTGTGTGGCAGCCATTGGTATGGTGTCTAGAAAGATCACAGGAATCAAGACCAAAGCTTCTGTTCATGGGGTTAAGGGCAAGTCAGTGAAATGGGATCAATAGGGAGCTATGTAGAGAGCATTCCCCATGGGGGATTTTCTTAGGCGCTGTCATCCTGCAGAGAGACAATTCTGTGTAATGGATACAGAGCCTGCTTCAGTGTCTAGAAGAAATGGCAGAACCAAGTTCTCCAACTGATACTGGCTGTGAACCAGAACAAATCACTTTACACCTTAGTGCTCTAGGCAACTCTCTTAAGTTACAGAGAAGGTGCCACCTTATAGTACCAGAGGAAGCTCCCTATATCAATGAAATCATAGGTCTGGTCTCTGTCCCCTCTACCTCTCCCTACTGTCATCCTTATCTGTAAGGATGAATCCTGGAATAGAGCTCAGGCTGAGTTCAGGGCTGTCTGGAGTTGAGACCAGAGGCAATTCACTTGCACACACAGGAATACTTATTTCTTCATTCAGTGTATATTTATTGCTCCCCTATCATGTGAAAGGCTCTGGGGTAGGTACTGGACTAAATCAATGACCTTGACTTGAATTAATACTGTTAAAACTGTTGAACAAAGGTTTAAATTTTAACCTAGAAGTAGTTGAGAGACCCTTGAGCTTTTTGAGCAGGGGAATAATAAATTAGTCCTATGCTTTAGAAATATCCATTTGGCAGTTGTGTGCTAGGATGGGAGAGAGAAGAGAAGCTAATTAGGAAGCTATTGCTGTAAGTGATGAGAGCCTTAATTAGGGTGGTGGCCTTATAAGTATAGAAAAGGGGAAGAATTTCAGAGATGAGGCAGATATACAATTGATGTAATTGACGTGAATTGGCAACTGACTATAAGAAGTGAGAGAGAGAAAAGACTTGATAATGACTTGTGTTGCAGACCTGGGTGACTGGAATTATGGTGGTACTTGCAACAGAGAAGTTAGAGGAGAGGGTTTGGGGGGAAAAAAAGACGAAGAATTTTGTTCAGAACATGTTGAGTACAAGTGCCTCTAGGATGGGATATCCAAATGGAGACATGCAGCAAAGCTGGACTTTGCAGGTCTAAACAGGGAATAAAGATTCAGGAGTCATTTGCTTAGAGATGCCAGTTTGGAGCCATGAGTATGGCTTCAGATTGTTATATTCAGATTGTCAAACGTTTAGCAAGAGAAGAGGGCCAGAGCTTATTCACTTCTCAAAGTTAGACATCCTGCCTGTGTTTAGGTGGTGGTAAAAAAGTCACAAAGGAGATTAAAAGTGTGAGCAGAAATAGGAGAACCAGCAGAGTATAGAGTATCTGAAACCCAGTGAAGCAGACTACCAGAAAGGGGGATGGGGGTGGTCTGCCATTGTCAAATGATGACTGTAGGTCAAGGTGGATTGAGAACTGAGATTTGGGCATAAGGAGGATGCTGGTGACTTCAGACATCCAACGGTTTAATACGAATGATCTCAGGTGGCTGGGCCAGATCAGGCTTGTAACTTCTTAAAGGAGGAGGCAGGTGTGACCTGCTGAGTTCCACTGAGGGCGCGTGGCGCCTCCAAACCAGCCACCCCGGGGAGGGAATGGGCATGCAACACGGAAGACAGCCGAGGTTGAACCTAGGGCTTCAGGGAGGGGACCGGAAGGCGGCAGCTCCTCCCAGCAGCCAGGTAGCTTCCGCTCGCACTCTCCTCTGAAAGCAGCCTCCCCCACCTCCCCTTCGCGCCCCGCCCCTCCAGCTCTGTCTTCGGATACGTAAGCGTTTCCCACAATCCCCAGCGGGGGCTAAGGGCGGGGCCGCGACGGAGATGGACAGCTCTCCCAGCCTGTCAGAGAAAGAGGAGGGAGGGGACGCCGGCTTCGACTTCCGCTTCCTCTGGGCCGCCGGTGCTAGTGAGTTTGGAGCGTTGTGGGGCGTCCCTGGGGCTGGGGTGGCGTCCCGGGTGCTGTCTTCTCGCTTCTGAGCCGAGGTGGACCGCCCTGGACTGAAGAAACCGGGTGGTCCTGGGGGGGGGTGGAGGGGAGGGCAGGGGGAGTGAGAGTACAGCGCCGAGGACTCAAAGCTCTGTTCCTGCGTCTGTAGGTAGTGAGCCTCCCGTCACTAGAAGTCTTTAAACGTAGAATGTTTTAGAGGGGACTTATTTTTCAGGTACAGGTTGAGCTGTATGGGGCCGATGGGGTCCCTCCTGCCTCTGAGAGTCAGCAACACTGTCTGCAGGCGTTCGGGATGAGGACCCCAGCCCGAGAGGGCCCTCGAGATCATGCCCAGGAGGGAGCCCCAGCTGTGGGGCAGAGAACTGGGGTGCTTAGCCTAGAGAAGACTTAGCAGGCATGGGATGACTGTCAGGTGAAAGAGGCATTCCATTTGTCCTGTTCGTCCCCGGAGGCAGAAGGGGCTGGGGGAGCCTCGGAGGCAGATTTTCATCCAACATCAGAAAGAACTCCCCAACAGTCCGAGCTGTGTCCAACGGTGGAATGGGTTGTCTTCAGGGGGCGAGTTTTCTAGAACTAGACGGGTTCAACACAAGTTGGATGACCATCTTTTAGGGGTGCTTACATTGTTTGGGAACTTCAGTTAGAAAATGTTAGGAATGGTAGGGAAGAGGATATCTAGCCCAGTCCCCTTCTTTTATAGATAAGGAAGCCAGAAAGAGGAAGTGACTTGATTAAGGTACTTAGGCTCAGATTCAAACCCAGGCCTTCTGATCCAGTGCACTTTCCCCTCTTGTCACCCTTCTGCTTGACAGTTCCCTAGGTCCCTTATGCCTTCAGGAGGTCTTTGAGCACTTGGCTAGGATTCAGGGAACTTCAGCTCTTCTTCCACCCCTGTCACTGACCCTCAGTGACTTCATAGAACCATAGATATAGAGTTGTAAGGATCATTGAATGCCATCCAGTGCAACCTTTCATTTTACAGAGAAGGAAACTCAGGCCCAAAGAAGTTTTAAGTGATTTTGTCAGGGTCACCCAGGTAGGAAGTACTGAAATAGGAAAATATAAACTCAGATCTTCCTAATGCCAAGTCCAGCTCACAGTGCATTCCACCATTGGACGAAGCTCTGATTTTGGGGCATTTCTTTCTGATATTGGGTCAAAATCTGTTTCTGAAGCTACACCCACCCCAACACACAGACACACACACATGCACACACAGAGTTCTGCCTCTGGGAACAAATAGGACAAGTCAAATTCCTCTTTCATCTAATAGCAGTGAAAACAGCTATAACATCCCTCCTAAATCTTCTTTAGGCTAAAGTTAGCATTCTCTTCAAGGTGGAATTAAACCAGAAGTCCCAGATTTCCTACAGACACAAATTAGACGTATCTTTGCTCTACCAGCTGAGCACTCGAAAGTTCTTTCTAACTCTAGTTCACTACTTCCTATGATCTGTAAAATAAAATTATCTCTAAGATCCCCTTTTAGCTCTGACACTTTGGTGTCATGGCCTTAGTGGTAGTGTATTATATTCTTCTGTTCCCCCAGCTGGTATCTTGCTTCTTCCATCCCATAATAAAAATAGATAAGTAAAAGCTACCCCACCCTCAATAATGCTTTTTTCTTTTTTAATTAATGTTTGTTGTCTTTCTCTACAGCACAATGAGAGGCATAGGAGGCAGTGGTTACAGTTGCTATGTTTTAGTGGGAAAACTGAATGGAATGTGACCACTTATCTGTGATTGCGTAATTGCCCTTCATTAATAAATAAGGGAGATGGTCACCTATTAAATAAAGCTTAAGGCTTCTTCAAGGGGCAGAGCATAGCCCAGTTTAGGACAGTGTTATTGGAAGCTAGTTACATGCAGTAAAGTTAGAAAGATTATAAAATGGCAGAGCTGGAAAGGACCTTAAAACATAAAACTATAGAATGTCATCACTGGAAAGGACCTTAGAGGTCACCTGCTTTAACCCCTTCACTTTGCAAGAGAAAAAGCAATAGGTTGAGAAATGGGACCGGAGAAGGGGTGTGATTTGTCCAAATTTATGCAGTGAGATGTGTAGGGGCCAGATTGTGAAAGGCCTCAAGGGCTAAACTAAAGATTTTGGTCTTTATTCTTAAGGTGGTAGAGAGTAATTGGAAACCTTTTAGTAGGAGAGAGATATTACCCAAACTTTGGGTACCCTACTAGTACTCTACTACCCTCTTTACCTAGTTATTGGTAGCTGTAGTTTTTTGTTTTGTTTTGTTTTTCTACTTGGTAAAAATGTATAGTGAAGCAGATTGATGTCATAGAAAGAGTACTGAATTTTAAGTTAGACCTGGGTTCAAATCCCAGCCTGACCACTTATTATTTGTGTGACTCTAGGAAAGTCACTTTATTGTCTCTGGACCTCTTTCTTCAGCTATAAAGGAGGAGATGTACTAGATCAAAGGTTCTTAACCTTTTTGGTGCTGTGCATCCCTTCTCAGAATAATGGTTTTTTAAAGAAATTCCTAATTGAAGGAAATGCTAAATTTCAGTTAGTTGTTAATGAAAATAAAGATGTCTTTTTTTTTTTTTCATATCCAAGTCCATAGGAACCCCCCCACACACACCTTGTTCCCAGACCTCTTGGAGATCTGTATACCTTAGGTTGAGAACCCTTGGACTAGATGATGTCTGAAGTTCTTTCTAGCCCTAAGGCCTATGACGTTATAACTTGTGATATGAGTGATGGTACTGGAAATAATTTGGGGCATTTTTCCTTCACAGTAACTCTCCTAATGCCGCTGCACAAGTATCCTGTTAAACTCTGGAAAACCTTGAAGCTGAGGCAAGGGATTTACTCTCGCTTGCCTGAACACTACCTCAAATCACTGCAAACTGAAAGGACACCCACAGCAGTCCATTATAAACCTCATGGGGTCAAGTATAAGATAAATCCAAAGAATGGACAACGTGAGCTTGTCCAGGATGTTCCCATCCCACTCTACTTTCCCCCTGAGTCCCAGAAGGGACTCTGGGGTGGTGAGGGCTGGATCTGTGGTTATAGATATACCAACAATGACAAGGTATGCGCACGCGCGCACGTGTGTGTGTGTGTGTGTGTGCATGTGCACACACGTGCAAGCACTGGGAGGAGGTATGGTTAGTGAGGGTGGTCTAGTGTGGACCCAGAAGAGTGTAGAAGGGGCTGGTCTCTTTTTCTCAAGTCCATAAAGTGACTGTTGCTACGGCTCCATTCCATTTATAGAGATGTAACTCAAAGTTATCTTCAGTTTTCTTCAGTGAAGCATAGAAAATAATTTTCTGCTAACTAAATACCACTGTAACTAAAAAGAAAAATGGTGGCTGTTTTAATTCTTCCAAGTAGAATTTTTAATTTTTAAAAAGAGCATCACTCCTTTAATGAATTAATTTAATTAATAAGTTTATATTCATATAAAGATCCACAAATCATTTTCCTGACTATGGCCCTGGGAGGTTTTTCATTTTTGTGTTTTTGTCCCCAGCACCTACTATGATGCCTAGCACACAGTAGGGATTTAATAAAATGCTGATTGGATTGGAGGTAGGTGTTGCAAATACAATTGTCCCCATTTTATGGACAAGGAAACACATTCTGAGAAGGAAAATGACTTCCTTTGTTAATGTTGGTCATTGGTGGAATGAGAACTTAGACTCCGGTTTTCTGATTCTGCAGCAAGTGCTCCTTGCATGGCTTCACAATTGCCTCTATGGTGGGAAGGTGAAAGGCCAGTGGCCTTTCTCTCTCCTTCTGGTAGTGGCACGTTCTTGGATATTAGGAGGGGCTGTGGAGAGAAGAATAAGCCTGCCTTTCCTTCTCCCTGTTCTGCCAAGCAGCTCTTCTAATTTTTATCTGTTGCTGAGCCAATAATAACATGATATAGAGGAATGTCCCCTCTGGTCACCTCCAAACTGCCCCTGCCCTTCCTTGTGCCTTTTGGCTCTTTTTTGCATAAGCTTAGCCCTTAGACATCACATGAGCTTTAGTCTCCCAGTCTTTGCACATGCCTAGTTATTTGGAATGTGAATACTAGTGAACCGTGATGCTGGGTTTAATGTGTCTCTAGTAAGATGGAACTTTTTGAAGGTTATTAGTGTTAGGAGAAGGACATCAACTCCAGGAGAAGTCAAAGTGGGACTAACTGTGAGGCTGAGCTAGCTAGGAGTTCAAGATATGAATGGAGATGAAAATGGCAAGAGTTGAGCAAGTGGATCATGACTGTATTTTAGGGGGATGTAGAGTAGAAAGGTGACAGCTGACTTAGTCTGTTAAAACAGGCCCTGTTTAATATAGTATAACTGGCAAGGTAACTTTTTTAAACTGACCCTCTACACTTCCTTCTATATACTAAATAGATAGACTAGATAATCCATAACTTCTTTCAGACAGCATTCTCAGATCCCAGTATCCTGGCCTCTGATGAATCCACAGAGCTTTTGTACTTTGTGGCCTATTAAGGCTTTTACCTTGAATTAAAAGAACAGGAGGGATGACAGAACTACACTTAAGGAGACAGGAGAAGAGAGGAAACAGCAAACCTTGAGCTAGATGAGGCAAGTGAATACAGATGGGTACTTCAGCTGAAGAAAGGAAGGAAGAAATATCAAGTCTGTGTGTGCTGGTGGTGGTGGAGGGAGATGCTGCTTGTCTTTCAGGAAGAGCATTGGTGATCATGTGGAAACAGCTTGCTCACCCTTAGGAACTTTGTTCTGCCTTTAGCTCTCAAGGCGCGTGAGAAAGACTTGGAAGCCCCATCTGTATGAACGAGAGCTTTACAGTGAGATCTTGGACAAGAAATTCAAAACAATGGTGACCATGAGAACTCTGGATCTAATTGATGAAGCCTATGGATTTGATTTCTATATCCTCAAGGTGAGGCCCTAGGACTATGGAGAGGGAAAAAGAAAAGAAGGGCCAAGTTTTTGTTTCAGGGGCAGGATCAAAGCTAGGAAGAGAACGACTTCATTCTGCCTGGACTTACTCTGAAGTTAGATTGGCAGCCACAGCTGCTGCTTAACATTAGACTAGAGATTTAAGGTTTAGTGTCCAATGCAGGATTGTGGAGAGTGGAAATCTTATTGTCCACCCTGTATTACAATGTTAAGTTTGCTTTTTACAAAGGATGTTGACAAGCTGGACCATGTCTTAGATGATGGGGGAACTGGAAGCTATGTAATGTGAGGACCAATTGAAAGAACTGTAGTTAGCTTGGAAAAGAGAAGACTTGATGGGGGAGGGGGACAATGTATGGAAAAAATGACATATGATAATTCTCTTCCAGTATTTTAGCTCTGTGTCTTAAGAGCCTCTAATCCTCTGGGCAGTCATGTGGAAAATGGGTTCCATTACGATCCCCCTTGACAGGATGGGTGTAGATCTGGCCATGGAGTCAGGACAAATTGCGTTCAGGTCTAGCCTCTGTCTGACTCTTGGCAAATCCTTGAAATTGTCAGTGCCCCCAGCAGCTCTCTAAGACTATAAATTACAGAATGGTTTCTGATATTCGTTGATTAGTGTAGAATGAAAGTCACTCCAAAGAATGTTTAGTTTATTTAAATGTTTTCCTATGTTTTGCATGATTACACTTATATAACCTACATCAAATTGTTTGCCTTCCCAATGAGGGGCTAGAGGAGGGAGGGAAGGAGAGAGTTTTTAAAAATGTTAAAAATAGTGTTTATATGTAATTGGAAAAAATAAAAAGTTTTAAAATTTTTTAAAAAATAGATATTTTCCATTACTGATATAAATCTGTATTTAAAAAGCACAAAATTTTACATATTTAAGTATGTCAAAATAAGTCAGATTTACTCAGGTAAACTATTTATAATGTGTGTCTTTGTATGTGGAAGAGGGGGCTGTGAATAGGTGTTCTGAAAAGTTCTTTGATTAACCTAAAAGTTTCAGGAATCCTAGACTACAGCAACAACAATTTGTCCAGTCTCTTTAGGCCTCAGCCTGCTATTTTTACCTATTTTTCCTCCCATGGAAAAATGAAGTGGGTCCACACTTAATCTGTAAGAGACCCTGACCATCCACATTAGGGAGTGGGAGGGCTGAACCAGGTCTGGATGTGGCCTAACTCTGTTCGCTCCAGAAATAGGTACCTACTAAAGGCTGTATGATGATGACGTTTCATTTGCATTCCTGAAGATTATTGAAAAATCAAATTCAATTACATAATTAGTGCTTGATTTATGTGTACGATTTTACCTACAGACTCCAAAAGAGGATCTGTGCTCCAAGTTTGGAATGGATTTGAAACGAGGAATGCTATTGCGTCTTGCCCGGAGGGACCCTCAGCTCCACCCAGATGATCCAGAAAAGAGAGAAGCTATTTATAGCAAGTACAAGGTGAGCAGCCAAACTGATTTTTCTGGCTAAATTCTACACATCCATTTGAGTTAATTCATCCATGGGTCATCCAGCCCCATATGCCTGGAGCCTCCTTCCCTCTTCTTCAAATGGGTGTTCCCTCTTATTCTAACAACCTCTGGCACAACTGGCTGCTCCAGTAAACCTAACAATTATATTTATCTATAATTTAGGATAATAAAAATTATATTCAGGTCAACAGATGTAATTTATTAAGCACCTGCTTTGTGCCAGGCAATTTATAGTATATAAAATGTTTGCCCCATGATAGGCTATGAGGTAGGTAGTATGACTATTTTTATCTCCATTTTACAAATTAGAAAACTGAGGTTTAGAGAAAGGAAATGTCTTATTTTAGGTAACCCAGCTAGATAGTGACAGAGCTGAGATTCAAACTTGGGTCTTCTGACTCCTAACCCAGTGTTCTTTCAGCTGTGTTTGTAAAGCTCTTTGCAAACCTTAAAGTGCTGTTTAAATGTTAGCTATCATTGTTATTATTACCACTCTATCTCACAGTATCCTAGGGTCTCTGTCTGTATTTCGCTTTTTTTCCCTTATGCTGTAGGAGTTTGTGATCCCAGAAGAAGAGGCTGAATGGGTTGGGCTGACATTAGAGGAAGCAGTGGAAAAACAAAGGCTCCTGGAAGAAAAAGTGAGTATCAAGAATAAAGTCTTTGAAGGGCCAAGAGCAGTGTCCACTGTTGGTCTGATGTCTAAGCCGATGTTTCAAGCTGTTTACATTGGACATGAGAGAGAGACTTGTGAAGGGGCAGGGGCATCAGGCATCCTCATCTCAAGCTTATGGATGGGAGAGAAGCTATGGAAACACTATGCCAATTCTGACCAAGGAACAGGGAGCAGACCTAGTACCAGTTCCTATTCAGGAACCTTTCTGCTTTCTCAACAGAGGAAGCTTTTGTCAGCTCTTGGGGACTGGCTTTGCTGCTCAGCAGCTCCCTTCCTCCCTGTGTTGGGGCCACCCTCCTTACTCAGACATCAGTTTAGCATGTTTACTTACAGTAGGCAGAAAGGTCAAACTATACACAGTATACAATCTAGATAGTGTTACAGAAATACTGAGTACAGAGCAAGGATCCCGTCCTAAGACCCCTAAACCATGTATAATTTGGACATTAAAGCACTTAAAGGTTTCCTATGTATACTGCCATGTGCAAGGTGCTGGGGAAAGACTAAGATGAAAGACAGGGTCCCTCTCCTCAAGCAATTGACAGTTGAGTAAGAGGCATTGGATGTGCACAAATGACTATGGTCGATGTTATGAATGGTATATTAGAGAGGCCTGAGTGGCCTAGGCGATTCACAGAGGAATGGACCACTTCCAGTTGGAAGGGTCAAGGAAGGCTTCATGGAATAGTCCTAGCAAAGTGGCTTGCACATAGTAGGCCTTTAATAATGAATTTGTTGGGTGAGCCAGCACCCAAGCTAGGTTTTGAAGAAGGATGATAAATAATATCAACTCATGTAACACACTACAGTTGCTTTCTTTACAGCTTTTTGAAGTAGGGAGTGTAATTTTATAAGTGAGGAAACTGAAGCTGAGTGAGCTGTTTCTCAAGACTTGTCTAGTCACACAGTGAAGAGTTAGAATCCAGACCTCCTCCCTCCCAGTCCTGTCCTCTCTGCACTGCCCCAAGTTGTCTGTAGAGGCATGAGAGGAGGGCTTGTTTAAATATGTGGAAGAAGAAGATAAGGAAAAGCTATCTCATCTACCAAACTGGTCCTGACTCTATGTGGTTTTCTTTTCATACTCCACCTAGTTCATTCTTTCAATGACTGTTAAGCACCTCCTATTTGTGAGGTCTTGAGAATATTAGTAAGGGAGATAAAGGGATAAATAAGTCAAGATATCTGCCCTCAAAGGGCTTACAGTTCAATTGGAATAAAACCTGTACACAGACTGAGCTCCAGGCCTGCATCACCAATTGCCTCTTGTTTCCAAAAGGCATTTTAAATTCAACAGGTCCAAAACAGCTCATCTTCTTCCCTCCGCCCCAGCTGTCTCATCTTCCGAACTTCGGTCACCATTAGCCTCCCAGTCACCCAGTTGTGGGTCCTAGAAGTTGACATCCATTCTTCCCTTCCCATCGTTTCCCATACTCAGTCAGTTTCCAGGTCTCGTTAGTTATGCCTCCACATCTTGAGTCCATCCCCTTTTCTCCACTTGTGTAGCCACCACCCTAGTCCAGGTCCTTAGTACCTTTCCATTGAACTTTTGCAAGAGCCTTCTAATTGGCCTCCCTACCTCAGACCTCTTCCCCCTTCCAGGCTGTCCTCCATAGAGCCACCAAATGATGTTCCTACAACACATCTGTCTGTGTTGTTTCCCCCCTCAGAGAGCTCCAACGGCTCCCTGTTTGTTCTGGGATAAGGCACAAGACTTATCTGTTTGCCATTTATAGGTCTTCACAGTGTCTCCAACCTCCCTTTTTAGGTTTATTGAATGTTGCTTCCCTTAACGTACAGTCTGTTTCAACCAGACCAGGCTTCTTACCATCTTCATTCACAGCATTTCATCTCTGCATGTGTGCCTTTGCACATGCTGCCCTCCTCCCTACCCTAGGCCTGAAATGTACTCCTTCCTCAGCTCCTCCTGCAGGAGGCCAGCCTGGTCCCTCCTGCCTCAAATTAACTTGGCATGTGTTTTCTAGTTACTTGACTGTGTTCATGGAGCCTCTCCTCATGGAATGGAAACTTCTTGAGGTCAGGAACTGTTTTACTCCTGTTTCTGTATTCTCCATGCCTGCCATAGCACCTGGCACTTAGCCAGTGCTTAACGAATGTCTGTGAAGTGTTAACAATAAATGTAACAGGAACTGGAACTTGATAAATGCAGAAGAGGAGGACTAGGTACTTAGGAGATGAGATGATCTAGAGATCATTTATAGTTGAGGGATCAAGGATTGAAGGATGGTGGGTGGGATGTTTGTAGGTGGAGGTTGGATTTCCATCTCTGCCTTACAGATCCAGAGAGGTTTTGAATTCAGTTGCAAGAAGAGGAAGGGGCCTCTTAATCAAACAGTCTAGTCTCTGGGACTAGACTGGTAGCAGGATAGTGACTGGGTTTTCTGGCTCTCGTTTAATTTACTGAGCTACTCCACGTGGGCAGATTGCTGCCCAATACAGGAACATAGTCATTGTTCGCCACAGCCATCTCAAACCAAAGCACTCACAGGTTTCCAGACTCCAGAGGTTAATCTGGAGGAGCCCAGTGCTGCTCAGTCTCCCCCAACATAGTTTGCATTTTCATGGGCTAAACTGGTGTCAAAGGGAAGTATCACTATGTGGGGATGTCATTTGGGGAACGTAGCTGCTGATGAGTTTTGAAGGGGATGATAGTCACATTCTCAGCAGGAGGGATTGTGGCTGCTGAGGCTAGAGGGGAGAGACGTGATCCACCTGTGTGTTTCTGACTCCTTGGACCAGCTTCAGTTGCTCTTGTTCTATCCCTCTTGTGCCAGCTGCTCTGCAGAACCCTCACCCACTGTTTCTCCCCTTTTCAGGATCCTGTCCCTCTGTTCAAAGTGTACGTGGAGGAACTTATTCAGCAGCTTCAAGAGCAGGCACTCTCGCAGCCAGCCGTGATGCAAAGGAAAGCCTAGTGGGCAGGAGCTTCCCAGAGGCTAGACTGTTTGATTAAGAGGCCCCTTCCTCTTCTTCCTCCTCCCCATCGTATCCAGTCCAAACCTACTGCTGCATGTTTCACAGGGAATTGAGAAGCAGAGTATATGAAGACTTTCTGCATCCCCCCTGCTGGCCACTCAGCTGAGCTCCTGGCCTGCCACTGGTGGTACCAGCTCCGAATCACAGCACTCCCTGAGCTCCTGCTGATGCTTTGAACTGAATACCTTTATTTTTCTGAGACACAGTCATTCAAAGGAACAATAAACAAACCCGTCCAGGGATCCAGTTACTGTCCCAGTGTGTCCCTTTAGCCACCCACACATGCCAGAGGTCTGCCAGGGATCAGAAGCTAGTGAGTGTCTTGTGCAATAGAACCACTGGAGCTTGTCACATCCCCTGTAGTCTCTTGATGTGAGACTGATTCTCTGGACATTCTTGGAAGCCCTTCACATAAAGTGGTTAATCTAGATCACTTCTAACATTTTTTGTTTGTTCTAGAAATTCTGTAATTCAAAGAACTATAGAATCTTCAGTTTGACAAAAGTATATACCAGGAAAGAGGGCTGGAATTTGAATCAAAAGGCCTGGTTTTGAAACTTAGCTTTGCTAATTGTTATCTTTGTGACCTTGGGCAAGTCACAGTCTCTCTGGACCTCAGTTCCTCATGTACAGGATGACGAGGTTTGGACAGAATGTGTGATCCTATGGACCAGGATCCTGTGACCCCTTCCCCCATGGTTTTCCAATGTCCCAGGGAGATACTGCCTCCCGGACAGCCTGTGTCAGCATCTTGTTACATTAAAGACCAGTGCTGTGTACAGCAGGATCTGTATCTGATACTGGGTAGTGTCCTAGTTCATGTTGACAGCTTTCCTTGATCCACGAAACAGACTGCTTGAAGGCATTACACAGTTTACTCTCACAGATCTGTGGGTTCTCACCCTTGTTTCCATCGTATGTATAGGCTGGTGAGCAGAGGCCTACAGGTGTTACACAGAAAGTGATGTTGGAGATCACACAAAAAACCAGTGACAGACTAAAAACAACAGCAGCCCAGTTTGCTGTGCAGTAGTACTACTGTTCAAAGCTCTGATACTGAGATTAATGCCAGAGGATTGTGTTTGACTTTTGGGGTTAGCCTTAGTTGGTACCTTTGAGCTGAATTGGAAGACTACAGCTAATGATAATATCAACTCACATTTACTTAGTGCCTTTTCTCTCAAAGCACTTTCTGCCCCAGGATTAATCAGCTGGGACCAGGGAAATGGTTCCCAAAGTTTTTATATTCAGTGTAGCCTCTGTCCTTGGCCATGTCCTCTAAAACATTTTATCAGTAACAGATAACAGACATAAAAAGCAGCTTAATCTGATTTGGACATGGCCCAAAGCTGGGAAAGATAACTAAGAGAGGCTGTGTGGTGTGGTGGAAAGGGCTGCCACATGGCCATATTACTCTGTACATATCACCTAACCTCAGCCTCAGTTTCCTCATCTCTAAAATGAGGATAGCAGTACTTCAACTACTACCTCAGGATGTTGTGAAGAAAGCTTTCTACAGTATCACAGAAAGATGAACAATTATTTTCATGCTTTCTTACAGTTTCCAACTGTCAGCTTGTTAAAAGTACTTTCCATCTCTTCTGTGAGTCTGGGGCCTTTTCCCTTCAGGTGGCTTCATTAACTCTTGCCTAAAGGCAGGACAAAGAAGGGCCCCTAATTAGCCACTCTTGGGCACAGCTGGTCCTGGGCCTCTGATTTAGAAAGGTACTCTGCTATTCCAGGCAGCACGTTGTGCTCTGCCTGCACTCGGCTTTGCAGGGTGACAGGTGGCCTGAGCTCTAGGACTTGAAGGCTCTCTGACTCTGACCCTTGGCCCCATAGTAAGCTAAAGATGTTCTCTATAGGAGGAGCTGGCAGTGTTCTGCTTCTGGGGAAGGCAATGCAAGACTTCTTTGCCTATGGAGAGTTTCCTGAGAACACTGTGGGTCACCATTGTCTTCAGCATTCAAAATCACAGCCCTCTCCCTGACCATTCCTGTTTTGACCTGACCTGCTTCTGCCCTCTTATGTATCTGGCCAGCTAGATCATGGAGGAAAAAACTCCCAAGGTTATATGCAGCTTGGAGGCCCCAGAATGCTAGTGAAACGAGGACTGAAGTGAACATGGGTTTTCCCCATGTAAAATGGGGGAATTGGGTCCAATGATTTCTGTGGTCCATTTCAGCATTAACATTACATGTATCTTCTTGCTCTGTCTATGTTCTCATGATTGTTGTTTGTCCTTCATTCATGAAGAGGACCATGATATCAGGAAGGAGATGCCATGACTTGCAAATGAATTGGATTTAAGTGAGGGAGGGCTGGGCAAAGTCACCAGCCTCACCTTCTCCTCCGGAGCCACCTCAGTCCATTGGCCAGTTATAGAACAGGATGACTGGAGATGGCTCTGGATGCACAATCAGTCTTTGATCATAGCTTCTTGAAGGGGCACTAATGTAGTGGGCAGGGCTCTAGGCTCTGAGCTAACAGATAAAAGATTTGAACTAGTGCTGGAGCCCTTTGTGACCCTGGGCAAGTAAGTCACTTAACCATCTTGATATTGTCTCGTGTTTAACTTCATAGGATTAAAACAGAAGTAGGGATCTGAACCAGATGATCTCTTCAGGTCCCTAAATGAGAACCATGTTGTAGTCTACTTAGACATTTCCTCCTGATTTCAGGAGAGAAGGAATGCAGGATTCTCTAAACAGCATCCACAGATGTTTCTTGATTACAGCTTTGAGCTGGTTCCTATGGGGCAAGGAAAAGTTAGCACCTTCCAAAGCTCCTTGGTTAAGAGACCTCTCTGACTTCCACAGGAGCCTGAGGGAGAATTAGGGTTCTCCCACCCCAGTTTCCTATATACTAACAAGATTGACAGCTGTCTCAGGCCAGGCCCTGGAATCATCCAAGACCCAACAAATCATGGAACTCTGAGTAGTATGGGCAGTGCTTGAACTTTCCTGGATGAGTGGTGAGCAAGGTGCCAGTTCACTCCGATTTCATCCAGTCTTTGAGTTATCCCGAGCATTTTCCTCACTGCTCTTAAATACTCCATTCCTGGAGTCAAGCTAGGAGAGAGGAAAGGAGCCTAATTCATCTACTCTGCATGCAAATGAACAGGATAGTTTGGAAGAGAAAGGAATAATAAACAGATATATAGTAGAATGGAGGATCCTTAAGGCAGGCAAGGGCTGGTTTCTGCATTTGAAGGATCAACTTTTGGGTGCACAGCCCCACTGAAATGAGTTTTTTATGTCATCTGGGCTTTTCATTGTCAGGTCTTTGTGCTTTATAGCATTCTCTTATCTGACTTCAAACTCCCTGGCCCATTTACCTCTTCCTGAGGAGTAGGAATACTTAATACTTCAGAATCCTGCTTCTGTGAACCTGCCCTAATGGGTTTTCTCTTCAAGGGAGCCCGACTAGAAGCTTCCAGACACTGACAGTGTGGAGTATAGAGGCCAGGCCAGGCTAATGGGAAGCTAAGCCCAAGGCCTTTTGAAAGTAAAGAGGGTTAAAGAGATGATTATCTCAGAGTTGGCCTTCCAGTAACCCAAACCCTTTTCCATTTCCCCACCCTTATCCCTTGATTCCTGACTCCTTTCTGGACTGTCTTCCCCACCTGCTGTAAGAATTGTACTCCTAAGCTGAGCTCAGTTCTGTGGATTTGAACGTAGGGCCTCTCCACTTATAGTAGGAGAATTGGGCAATGCTGATGTTGTTTCCATGACAACGGAACCAACTTCAGAGTCAAAATGACAGCTTGTCAGATGGGTACATCTCACACACACACAAATCACACATACATACACCAGAGACAATATCTTTTCTCTTACCCTTGGGGTACTGGAATGTGCTTGAAATTTGTGTGTCAGTGAGAAGCCAGAGAGGATGTCTACTGCACCTGAGGTTGGGTCTGGAGAGTCTCACTTGCTCCCCTTGGGGCATAGGGAGATCTAAGGTCTCCTTAAATCTTAATATATGAAGGCACACGGTCTTGAGTTGTTATGCCTACCTACCTTATGATTTTTATAGCACTTTTTTGTAAAGCCTATAGCACATTTTATCCTCACACCAGCCCTTGGATGTAGGCAGAACAGCTATCACCATCCCTATTTGACAAATGAGGAAACAAGCCTGGAAAGGTAAATTAACTTACCCACTTGTTACACAGCAAGTCAATGGCAGTACTAGAACTTGAACCCAAGTCGTTGGACATCTAGTCCAGTGGCCTTATGGTTCCAATTCAGTGGATTTTTGTTTGTTTGTTTGTTTTAATAACCTAGGGCCTAGTATGTGATAGTCCACTAAACCTACATTTTCTTTTTTTGGTCTTGGCCTATGACTTCTTTGGTGTGTGGGATTCCCACTGTGGAGATTCCCTCCAATGTTGCAAAAGTGACCAGCAACACCACCACCACCATCTTCAACTTAGCTTCTCAGAGAGTAGCCTGGGATAGCTGAAAAATTATTTACCCATGGTCATATAGATAGTAGAGGCAAGACATGAACCCAGGTTTTCCTCACTAAGGTCAGCTTTCTCTCTACTACCCCATGCTTTCTTTTTTTCTTTTTAGAGGCAATTAGGATTAAGTGACTTGCCCACGGTTACACAGCTAATAAGTGTCTGAGGTTGGATTTGAACTCAGGTCCTTCAGACTCCAGGGCCCATGCTCTATCCACTGCACTACCTAGCTTCCCCTACTAACTCATACTTTCAATCTATTTAGAGAAACCTTTCCAAAAGGGCCCCCCCCCCAAGTGAGCAGCCTAGGGGCCCAGGTATCAAGAAAGTGAAAAGAAATGTCCTTCCTTGGTAAAAGGCCCCAACCTTACCCTATTTAGACAAAGGCCCACAAGGGACAAAGTGGCTTGCTTAAATCTGCCTTGCAAGCTTGTCCTGAATCCAAGTTTCTGACTACAGAAGCCATATCTCTAT